TTTTTCTTCTTGTCAGCCTTCTTGGAAGTCTCGTCCTCATTTGAAGTCTCCTCAGCCGTCTTTGTTTCATTTGCCTTCTCTCGCTTCTTTTTTTCTTCTCAGCCTCCTTGGAAGTCTCGTCCTCATGTGAAGTCTCCTCAGCCTTCTTGTTTTCCTTTGCCTTCTCTGACTTTTTCTTCTTCTCAGCCTCCTTGGAAGTCTCATCCTCCTTTGAAGTCTTCTCCTCCTTGGATTCCTCTGCCTTCTCTTGTGTCTTCTTTTTCTTCTTCTCAGCCTTCTTGGAAGTCTCGTCCTCCGTTGAAGTCTTCTCAGCCTTCTTGTTTTCCTCTGCCTTCTCTGACTTTTTCTTCTTCTCAGCCTCCTTGGAAGTCTCGTCCTCCTTTGAAGCCTGGTCCTCAACATTCCTAGCTACCTTCTTTAGCTTCAGCTCCTCCATTTGAGCCTCTGTCGAGGTCCGAGTCTTCTCTTTCTTGGGTGCCATCACCTGTCGAGGCTAGCTAGGTATTTTACTAGTCCATTATTGTGGAAAAATGAAATGTTTGATCGAGGCCTGTGTGGTGTCTTTCAACAACCCCCACTCAGCAACACAGATCTGAGCCCAAATGGTTCACTTTGTGACACGCAGGTGACACGCTGACCCGTTCGGGCTAAGTGACCTCTAGGACCTGTAAGTGACCTCTAGAGCTTCTAAGTGACCTCTTCAAAACTAGTTGTGACACGCCAGTGACACGCAGTGACACGCTCCTAAATGGCCAAAAACATCTAAAACAATCGAAACTCCGCGAGGCTCAGTTTCCGAGATCAATCTGCCTGGCACCCCAGTTTGGGCATCGGCGGCTAAAGTTTCTTTTCTAGCTCTCGTTGGCTCGTTCTATACCCCAGAATTGGCAGTCAGCTTCTGCTGCATTTTGGTAAGCAGCAGTGCTAATTAATTTACTGGTCCTCTGCTTCATCATCGTCAGACTCATCGTCAGACAGGTCACACCGACAATCTCTGGAAACCAAGAGCAGCGCTAGAAAGTCAGACCTCCAGGGAACCCACGATTGAAAGAGAAGTTACCGGTGAGGCAGATTTGGCTTTATTCCACTGGGATTGGGAAAGATGCAAAGAGAGGCCAAGGTCTCGAGGCCATTGGGGCACCTAGACTTGCCTTTCATGTTGAACAAAACAGATGACCCATGTCCGGGCTCTTCCCGGAGACCTTTTTGATCTCCTGGTTTGAAGTCACT